GGTGGGCAGCCACAGGGGCCCCAACTGGAGTCTCAGGGCCCCAGTGCTGGGGGAGCTGGGGGTGGTTTGTCACCTTGGGAGGTGGTTCCCAGCCACCACCGCTGCAGCCTGCTGAGTGGACTCTGTGTCCCTCCCCTCCCCACCCCCTCAGACCAGCTCGAGAGCTCAGAGTTCCTCAAGGTGAGGAGGGCGTTCTTGATGGCTCCAGCCGCCCACACGGAGGTCTGGGCACCAAGGTCACTGACAGCTGGGTGCTACACAGGAAGAGGGAGGGAGACGGGGAGGTTACTGTCTAGAGGGAGGAGACAGGGCTGAGGAGAGGAAATAAAAAGAGATTACATGTTTTAAAAGGCACTCTAGCTGTCTACTGACTCCGTCCCTGGTCTCCATCCGTTTTATGGCCTGCTGGGCTCAGGCAGCTGGGCCCTGTTTGTCAGGGGTGTGTGGAGGGCTGGGGGCGAGCAGCCAAGCCCTCCAGGTGGCCATGTCTCCCCTGCCTGGCTTCCCCTTGGGGCTGTCTGGGCAGCAGGAGCCCAGCCTGGGCAAGGCAGCGATGCTTTGTGCAGGGGGTCCCCAAGGCTGGAGGGGAGGTTGCCCCCCGCGGGTAGCCACTATCGCTGCCCATCTATCCCCCTGACAGGTCAATTTTCTCCCGTGTTTTACAGGAGCTTTCAGGGCAGGAAATGTGATCGGGCGGCTGATTTATGTCCTCACCTGGTCTTTGTTCACAAGCCTTGCTCTGGCCCCCCGCTCTCCTCCAGGGATTCCCGCCCTCTGGCTTCTTCCAGGGCCGCCACTGACCGCCCGAGCCCAAGCTGGCCTTCGTGAGGTGGGGACATGGCAGCCGTCGGGCGTGGCTTCACCGCTGGTTTTCTATGGAGAGGCTTCCACACGGGATGCCTGAGTTTCTTGGCTGCACCTGACCTCAGCTCCCTGTCACCTGCAGAGTGTGATGTGGGACCCAGAGGTCTCAGAGCTGCATCTCAGCCATGCTGGAGGGCAGCTGCGGACGGGGACAGAGTGACTCCCTGGAGACTTCTGTTTCTTGTGCTCAGAGTTCTTTCCTGCTGCTGTAGCCAAGTCCTCCTATCACACCTGTGGGAGAGGGGAGATAAGAAGACCCTAATGTCCCCCTCTGCTGGAGAAATGAGTGGTCAGGAGCCTGCAGTCCCCAAGCCATCTTTTGAAATAAGGACAATCTGGTGGACAATGAGTGGATTCTAGTCTTCTCTCCGAAGGGGTACGGAGCGTATTTGGAAAACTTTCGGTTGACATTCCGAGTGAGAGCAGCTCAGCTTCACGCAGCCCTTGCCCCTGGCCCCACCTCTCCCAGGGCTGCCCCAGTCCCTCAAAGATGGAATTCTGGGAGGCTAGGGTGTGGGTCCCCCATGCGTTCCCAGCAGCTCTGTGAGGCTTTGTCACGTACTCAAGTGCTAACAGGGGTCATAGCATTGCACCAGACAGATGAGATGCCATCCCCAGCCCCTTCTCCCCAGGGCCTGGCGGCTCCTGAAGAAGCTGGTCCCATGCTTAGGGAACCTGGATGCACCAGTCTCTCAATTCTGGGCCAGGCACATGAAGGTATCAGGGCCCAGGAGCAGCGGCTCTAAGAGGAAGGTGAATACTATGCCCTGCTCAGGCGCCCTGAGGCGTGGGGATGCAAACATGGGGGCCTTCATGGTGGGGGGTGGCCTGATGAGAGACCCCAGTGCGGCCTCTGCTTGTTCCCTGGTAGCCAGGACACACTGTAACCCAGAACTTAGCCAGTGGGCTTTCCATGGTTCTGGGCACTGGCTCCTAACCAAGTCACCAGGTGACAGGTTGGGCAGAATGCTGGCTGTGAGGCTGATGAGCTATGCCCCTTGCCAGGCTCTGACTGCCAAAAGACAGATGATGCTCCTTCCGCTTCTCTCCACAGAAGTTCCTGCTTCTCGAGCTCCACCTTCAACCACTCATGTCATCTCTGAGATCCCATCATCCTTCCAACCTCAACCATTTTTTTTTTTGGTACCGGGGATCGAACTCGGGATCTTGCGCTTGTGAGGCAGGCGGCAGAACCACTGAGCTAAATCCCCGGCTCAACCTCCACCTTTTTGATGAAGAGAGTAGGACCACTTTCTGTTGCCAAAAAGTGACTGGAAGCATTTGTTTGATATAAGACCCAGCAGAATGAAACTAACAGGATTAGGATTTAAGTTTCCACCTAGAGAGGACCTTAGTCCAGATCATAGCCATCCACCTACCCACTTATCCATCCATCCATCCACCCATCCATCCATCCGTCTGCCCACCCATATGCATGCATATTTATCCACCATTTGTCCGTTTACCTACCTAGCCCTCTTCCTCCTGGCCGTACCCATCAATACACCCACCCACACACCTACTCACAAATGTCCTTTCATCCACCCATCCAGTGATCTATTCATCTACTCATCTATCATCCACTTACCCATCCATCCTGCTGGTCATTCATTCACCTATTTACCCACTCACTCATCCATCCATCCATTTTATTCACCCATTTGTCCATCTACCTATTCATTCATCCATTCTCCCTTCTGTCATTCTACCCACCCAGACACCCATTTATTATTTTTTTCCACTAAGTGTATTGGTACATGTTAGGTATACAATACAGTTACGTTCCTCATTGGGATCTTGTACCTTTACGTAAGTATCTTGGTTCTTATTTTTTCCCCATTCCCCTGCCCTCCCTTCACCTCCTCCACCCTTCCCTATTTACAAAGATTTTGTTTCCATGTTTTTCCTTTTCTCATATTTTTTCTTTTCCCTTCTTTCCTTTCCCCTACCCCTCCCACTTCCCCTACTCCTTTAGA